TTACCGAGAAGACAGCTATGAAAACAGGCGTTTAACAGTTGATCCATTTATCAGACACAAGTCTGCGGTTTACATTAAAGCACCATAAATCCACCCCCCTTATTTGTTTAGCCGTTCCTTGTGTCGTCCTATTTCAGAGCGTCGGTCCAAATCGCTGATCAGATCGGTGTCTGAGGCTCATCAATCAGACGTCCCTCCCCCTCCTGGTGGAGATGCAGCTCACATGCCAGTCAGCCGGAGGAATCCTCGGGCTTGTGGTTGAGACGAGGGGGGAAGAGGAGCAGACTTGGCGGATCGGGAGGGTTTTCAGGCTTTGGAGCAGTAGCTGCATTCCTCCATGTCTCCTTGTCTTCCTCTGCTGATGTCTCACTCTGTCCTACTCTCACTTTCCCCACATCCATCTCCATTTCCTGTTCCTCAAACTCCCAGCGGGGTTGTCAGACGGGATCGCTGATGTTTCCCTGATGTTGCGGCCTCAGGCGCTGCCCGGCCGTCTGTCCCGTTGCTCGTTTCTCCACACAGGTGCTAATAGTAATAATTTCATCTGCACGTTTTCGCTTTTTTTTTTTTTTTGCCTGTTTGGATAGAAGCACGTTTCCCTTTACAGTGACTTGTTTTTTTCCTGGTCGTATTTGGGTTTCTTTGACGGCCTTGGTTGCCTTTTGTATGTGTTAATATTAGCTGAAAGGTAGGAAGATGGGGGAAGATGTGGCCCCCTGAGAGATGAAAGAGGACCATAATGTCATTGCCCTCCTCCTCGTTGCTGTCTCTTGTTCAGTAGTGTGTCTCTACAATAATGGAGGTGCAGCCCAGAAAGACAGATAAAAATCTCTGGTAATTACCTCTGAGTCATGCTCTGATCTTATCCAAAAGTTGGCCCGATGGTTATTTCTGTTGGCATGGTGAAGCCTGGAGAGAGGCGCGCATACTGTACATGCAGACAGATGGAGAGACAACACATCCACAGCTCGGAGAGCAGCGGCAGACTGACAGGTATCCAAAACAGACGGCGACACGGAAAGGACTCCTCATAAACACGCTAACGTGGGTGAAGGAATTTCAGAGTGCGCCGTGGAAACACTGCGCAACAGAGTTTGTCGCGTTAAATCGAGTTACAAATGCATCTACGGATCTAAGAATGGACTTTTTCTAAGTTTTTCCTGGCTCAGGAAAGGTCTTTGGGGTGTGACTGACTTCAAAAGCATGATCAGTGCGCAGACAGTGAAGGCAAGACGTCTGCGTTACCCTGTTGGACAGAAACATTCAAACGATGTTTCTGACCACTTGATAAACAAACTTGTCTGTTTTGCTTGAGTAAATAAAACCCAAATAAGCAAAGCGGGATTTAAAACAGGAGAAGATTCTGTTAAAATCCTAATTCTTGTCGTTTTGATGCTTTTTTCTTTGAGTGGCGACAAAAATTGCAAAAATTTTCTTATGACTTCCACAAACTTCTTGTTTCTGTAACAGAGCAGCAAGAAAACCAGGATTTATTTTCCAGTGATGCTCGATGTAACGTTAGGAAGGTGGAATCAGAGAATTTGGATTTATTTATTTGTTTGTTTTAAACTGATTAATAGATTGTCAAAATTGTTAGCATTTAATTTAACACTTGACAAATAATCAATTAATCATCGGATTTATTTTTTAAACATTCATGTTGATGACATTTTGTTGTTGTTCCTGACCACTTGACAAACAAAAATGTCTGTTTCCTGAGAATAAAGAACACAGCTGGTGATCTTCCTTTAGGTAAATTGCTGTGAAGTCCATCCCTTTGTTAAATCCATCTCCAGTCTAGTCGTAGCTTATCAACTGTTACTAAAAGCAGGTTTTTGATTTGTCCACATGGTGAGGCGCTTTAGATGTTGCTGTAGTAAAACCAAGACTTTCGGACCATGAAATCTTTTATGACCTTCTCTAAACCAAAAGCAAGCAAACCTGTAAGGAATGGTTGAAACAATGAGTTTCACTTTTGCACATCCAGTCCAGGAACTAAGTCTTCTCGTAGATTAATCGTAGCAACTGGACTTGCTTGAGTTCCTTGAAGACGCTCCACCTCTCGTCCAAGAGGCTTCATCAGCTCTGACTGACTAGTTTGGAGTTCCACATACTGATATCCTTAAGGATCCATTAATTGCTCCTCCCCCTCGTTTGTTGCAACAAACCCCCAACTGAAACCAAAACTCAGGTGTTAACGGCTCCTTCAGGATATAAGTATCTGGAAGACAACAGGCAGCATTAGCAAAGATTGGTGGGAGCTAGCATTTTAGCACCCTTTGGGCCAAAGGCACTGGTGTTAAAGGAAATACTAAGTTGGTGAACTTGATAAACATTGTACCTACTTCGCATCAGTATTTTAGCATTTTCACTGTTAGCATGTTGACGTTAGCATTTAGCTCAACGTACCAGTGTATTCAGGCTTCCAGAGCTACCAGACGTAGTGGTCAAGAACAAATATGTCGTGTGTTTTTCTAAACACTTCTCCTTGATCATGACGATGGGAAAGAAAAATGTGAAGGCGAACTCATGAGGACAAAGGACGAGACAACCACAGCGCTACGCGATTCCAGCTACGCCTACATTTGACTACATTGTCATGCAGTGGTTGTTTTGAATGTTGTCCTTTCATTTGTAAAGGATGGACCGATATGTCTTTTGCTAAATGAGATAAAAGAGGAAGCACTGAAGCATAACTGATCTTATAATTTATTGGATTGGACCAGCTCTTGTCATGGCTGCCACTGGGATACTTCCAGATCGTTTCACTCAGTTAAGAACTTTTCTCAGCAGAAAGACTCGTTTTCTGGTACAAAATACAGCTAATATGCTCTTATAACCTCTCCGTCTGTGCTAAAGAGCCCCATGATTATTATAGATGCATCAAAGGGCTGCATTGTTTCACTGGGGGCATTATTCCGTCATCACTACAAACATGGACACGGTTATCGCCGGCATCTCGAATGTCAACCGCCACTTTCATTTTGGTGCAGTAGACGTTTTATCTGCCCCCTCATCACTGAGGCATCATGCCATCCTACAAAGTAAGAGCAGTTTGATAAGATTATTTACATTTATGTTTATCTGAGACATTTTCAAAGTAAATGTGTCTTTATTTCAGAGGTACTTTGGAAATACTGCTGTTGTTTTAGGTGTTCTGAAATGTTTCGTTGTATTATTTAAATGGTTTTACATAGAACCAGTTTAGCTCAAGGTATTTGTTAAGATTCGTTCTTATATAAATGGATTTAAAGAACCCCTCAGATGTACACGTCCATATGATTGTTTTTTTTATATGCAAGAAGACACATCATGAGTAAAATAAGCAGCCAGTAGCTCAGCATTTCCGTTTTCTTTAAACTGCAGTCAAGATAACAAAATCAGAGAATGAGATGACAGTTTCCACAACAGGAATTCAGACTTCCAGGAATTAATACGTAAAAAAAATAGATAAAAAATCTAATGGCACAAGACCACAGGGGCGTTTTTAGGGATCGCACCACTTCTCAATATCGGATGCTTGATGAGCGTACAACTCGGCAGTAATATAACGTAATTATGACTTGATAGCTGCAATCAACACAGAATTTAAATCCCTCTGGCTGTCCAAAAATTGTTGGACAGACGCTCTACTCGGAGGCTGTCTGCTCCTCGATTTCATACCAGATAAACGTAGCGGCTCTCT